TGTCTGGTCCAGTCATTTCTTTCCTTGGGATCCCTCATCTACTAGTGGCCTTTCTCCCTCTATACTTACCTTATGGATCCTCCAACTCATCCAGACTTTTTACTCTTCCTTGGGTATGGTTAATTGTCAACCATTTCATGTCAACTCTTACCAGACTCAACTTCTAACAGAGTCTCTGGCATCTCCCCATTGACAGCTTCAGGAATTTTTCCAGGATGGCATGTGGACTACCCCACACTCATTTGTCTCACATTATAACAATTTCTGGTTGTCATGTCTTCAGTAGCATAGACTTCCACCAATACCATTTTTCATTTTATCCTATGCCTGTAACAGGTGAGATTATTCTTTTACTTATTCCTTTCTCACCTTCATTCTATTTTCAGATCCCACTAGGCGGCTAGTGCTGCCTCCGAGCATATTCTCACTCAAAATCTGTGTCGAGCCATAAAGCTCTCATGCCATTCGCCCTGACTCAATCAGTGCCCACTGTGAATTGGAGTTGTCCACAAGACCACTGGAGTTAGTACTCAAGGTAATACTATAAAACATTCAACAGTCCAATCCAGACTGTATCCACTCCATGGACTATCATGAAAAAAACAGTACAAGAGCTGTGCATCTGCCTGCTTCTCTGACTAGCACTTGCTGGCTTTTAGAAATAGGATTTTGCAGTTACTCATCCCCAATAAAAGATCTTTCTGGCAGGCACCCATATGGGTTCCAGGCATATTCTCTAGGTCTCCCCTGAGCAAGTTCTCCCCCTCCACCTTTAAGTGGAGCTCAGGTGGTGAATGAAGGAGAACCCTCATCAATTGGAAACTAAACATTGGGGGTAAAACATGAATCCCTCTATGGTGAGAAGTGGGGCAGGTGCATTTCTGGAGTGCAGTGCAGATCACCCCATTGCATATAGATACATCACAATCTTCAAGTGGAATTTGGACACATATCACTATTTCACACTCGTATATCCATTTGATTTATCATAATTCCTACTCACACAATGGTTTGAACCCTCTGTATCTGATGGCAAAGTATATGATATTATTTAGTATCCAAATATGATGTAGTGCTCACATGTCCTACTCCCCCAGCAGGCTAGGGGCCCATAGTGTCTGATAGTCAAGTTCTGGTTATATAAGTATCCATACTAATTGTGTCCAACAAAAAATATATGGTACCCTCTTCTCACAATTGGCAAAGTGTCTCATGGTAGAGGAGCTGAGCACAGATATTTATCACAAGTTTCCTTCTCCCACAGCTGGTTCTGACACATAGAGACTGATGGTTGAAGAGGTGTGCACACAAAGTACACTCCGAATGCACTCCAACCACATTACACATATTGGCCATCCAACCACTTGTGTGCAAGTACTCAGACAGTCGTGTACCTATTCCACCTATCCTTGCAACACAGTTATAGCATTTCCCCTCTTTTGGGGGAGCTCATTTAATTACATTTCACACTGGTCCCTTCACCATCTCAGTGTTGGATTCTGGCTTTCTGTGTACAAAGGTGAGTGATTGTATTTGAAGTTAACATTTTCCTGAATCCTATTGCCATGGGTATCCTTTACTAGCTTGGATGAATTTGTAATGGCTCTTGTTGCATAGTTAGAAAGCCAGAAAAATTTGAGAGGTAATGAAATTTGTCTACTTTTGCATGTTATTAGTCTATATTCTTTGGTGCATTATTTAATTAAATAAAAATTATTAAGTGCATTACTATCATTAGTAGAACAAATTAGGTTTAAGTCTCCACGAAAACCAGCAGCAAGAAAAAAGAAGATTGGTTAAGTATTTTATTTTTTGTTTTTCATGTTTATTCTTTATGTATAATTATTAAAGTAACTGAAATGTAAAAATAGGAACTGTTTACAAATCATTTGTTGTGTAGTTCAGTTGTGAATTTATGGCATGTTACTAGGATCTTCTAAGTTTTTCATGTTGCTTTAAATGAGTATTATTACATAATAATGTCTCATAGTTTGTAGAAAGTTCTAGGTCTCAGTCAGGCAATATACATATAGGTGACCAAGTTAGTGGAAGTAAGTTAAGTTAGTAAAAGTGAAAAAGGTTAAACTGTGCGATTGTGAGTTTAGCCATAAAGAGCATATAGTGATGATTTCTAAAGTGAAAGTATCACAGTTTGTATTCTAATAACAAGAGATAGACAAGAATAATTTGTCATGTCAAAGGATTTTCTAAAGTAATTGAACCTGCCTGTGTTCACTTTGACAAAAAGAAGACAAATATTTAAAGCTCTGGATAAAATTGTGGTAACCAACAGTTATAGTGGTGATTTTAAAGTGAGTGACACAGCTTATATTGTAATAACAAAGTAGAGGAGAATAATTTTTCTTGTCAAAGGGTGTTCCAAAGTAATTGAACATGCCTGTATGGACTTTTACAAAAAAGAGGCAATTATTTAAAGCTCTGGATACAACTGTGATAACTAACAGTGTAATGAACACTGATATATATGTTTGACTTGTTTTGAATATATTATTTTAAAACAAGTGGATTGAGTGCTGTCCATTTATTGTTGAAAGTTATCACCAACAATTCACAGACACCTACTGTAAAAAATCTTGCACCATAAAATCTGACAGGTGTATCACATTCCTATTGATGGAGGGTTTTGCTGCATGGTATGTCATCATGTAGTAGTGCAACTTCATGTGTTTCACTGAAATTTAGGTGGGAATTTTCACAAGGCTGATAGTTTGCAAGTTTCTTAGACACATTACGTTTTGTGTACAGAGGTGAATGTCTATCAGAAATACATTTTCAATTAATGAAAATGTTATCTTTCATGTGCCACATGTAAATGCCATGGTGCTTTCTAGGATCTAAAAAATAAAAAGATTGTTGTGTTCCCATATAAACATCATATGGTTGAGTGAAATTTAAACTTCTCTGACAAATATCTTACTAATAAAGTTTTCCATATGAAAAATATATATATAAATAAAGTTCTTGTTAGCTTGCAGCACAAAATGTTGCTTAAAATTTAGACCACAGTTAGCCTTCCTGGCTACAAAGAGAAACATTAATGAAAAAGCACAGTTACTAAAGCAACAGAAACATACAGTGCCTTGCAAAAGTATTCACCTCTACTAGTGAGGTCACATTTTGAAGAAATACAAATAACAAACGTTTTAACATAAAATATAAAAATATGGCATTACAAGTTATTTTGCTTTTACTTCTTTCTGGATTACCTTGTGAAGACATTAGGCTAAAAGAACTTCATGTGAACAGTTTGCCTAGGTTGTCCTAGAAACTTTCTTTTCAGTTATAAAAAAGCTTATGAGTAGTTAAAGATAAATTTCAATCTTTTACAACCAGGTATTATCATTTTTCACTTGGATGTCTGATAAAACTTTCTAATTTGATAGGATTTGTTTTTATAATAGTTTTGTTTCAAATATACTAGTTTTTTAGCTTATAATTCACAAAAATTGAAGTGAAAACATTATTGATATTAAATTTTACACACACATAAAATAAGAAAACACTAAGCTCTTCTGTTCTCACTAGATACTGCATGTTATAAAAGAAAAATACTCTTGTTATTAATTTGTTTAAGCAAATAGTATAAAGCTCAGCATGCTTATTTTCATTCTCTTCCTAATTCTCATAAATAGTAAATTGGTGAATTTCATCCATACATTGATTTGCATAATTAATTTATTTGACACACTTAGGCTGTATCCGTAACATGCTACTCAAAACTGTTCCAAGACTTGAATGTAATTAAATATGTTGTTGAATTAATAAATGTACTGTGTGAAGAAACAATGCACATAATTTTGTTAATCCATAATCATATTTTTTCAATAAACCTGTGTAAAATACAAAATTTTAAACCTCTTTGTATAACATTAGTACGTAGAATTATATATGTGTGTGTTATATATATATATATATATTAGTATCTTTACAAAGTTACCCTGGGAAACTCATGGTAAATATGAGGGCTTATAATGCTAGAAATTGAATTTCAATACCTGTGTCGAGCATAGCATGAAGAGCCCATTATGTAGCTTTCCAATTAACAGCAAAAAAAATCTTAATGCAATCAGATTTCAAATAAATTATTTGTTGTGGTAGTTTTCAATGGTTTTGTACTGTATTATCAATGCATGTTAGAAGTTTTTGAAAAGAAGAATATTCAAGAGCATTAACAAGTATGGCACATATTATAATGCAGAATGACTCAGCAATGATAATTTGTAATTATTGATGTTCAAGAAAATATAAAAAGTTAAACATCTTGCAAACAGAAATGGAATACTTAAAACTGAATTTTAAACAATAAGAGATTTTGAAATAAATAGTAAGAAAATGTTTTCTTTATCTTTATTGGTAGGGAAGGTAGATGTGTGCTGTTATGGACTTTTTATTTTTATGCAAGTTATTTGTTACAATAATTTATTAAGTTTAGTAAATAAGCATCATTTTGTTGTTTAGAATTGACTTAAACAAATTAATAGGTTCTTTCATGGTAGCTAATTGAGAAAACTTCTGATATGTTTTAAATCTAGATGTTTTGTTTGTAAAAATATACTTCAAAAAACGTATATATGCCACTTATAGCTTCTTGTAAGATTGAGTTTAAGATTGATTACAAAATATTTAGTTTTAAAAGTTGAAGGTTTTGATATCATCAGTACATTATTGTTTCACATGTTTTTTGTAGTTAATTCATAAGATTGTCTTTGTATTTGTGTGTTGTGTATTTATATTTCTTGAAATAAATTTAACCTATGTTTATAACTCATATGCACTAGATCAGCTAATTTTAATACCCATTATGAACTTCAGCTCCATTATTTGAACTGTTATGAATTTTTTCTAATAAACCACTAATATTTAATTTATCTGATAAGGAAAACTTGAGTCTTTAATCAATCTTAAAATAAGATACCCATAATTTAAAAATGTTTGTAAAATACAGATATTTATCAACCTACTTTAATGTCTTGATACAGGGGTCTGTGCTCGAAAAGGTTGTCAAAAGGCTCGAGCTCGCAACCCAAGAACTGGAACACTCCATGAATATTGCTCATTACAATGTCTGCAAAATTACACAGAAGGAGTAGAAGGTAATAGGTTTCATAATATCTTTTTATGTTTTGTGAAGTATTTATTGAGCAAGTAGATTTTTTCATTTCTTGAACAGTTAATTTTAGTAGCTGTTACATAATCAAAGTTTAAGCCTTGATTATGTACATCTGTCTTTTTACTTATCCATTATTTAGATTTATCAAAAACCTAACTTAACTCAATAAACGTTATTAGTGTTATGAACAAAATTCTCTGGAGGTGGCACATTACTGAAGGAACCCATTCCAAAAATAATAACAAAAGCATGAATTGAGATTAATTCAACGTAGTGAGCTTAAAATAAATTACAGCATAAAAAATGAAAGGAAAGAATATAGAAATATTGACAGATGTATTGCATTATTCATGCTAAATATTCTTAAAGAAACAACTGAGAGGCATACTTTATTGACTGGTTAAAAACAAAGGTGATTGTCATGGAAACAAGTTTTATCAAAACAATTAACTCAATTTGAATAGAAAAGAACTTTGTTAACATGCTCTCCACATATAAATTAATATTGGTATCTGAGTACAGACTTTTTTAGAAGCACAGTTAGATTTTTGTTTTATAAGGCCAGCAGCAATACTAATAAGTAAATATAGTTTGATTGCACTATATGCTTACTTTTTGTTTCTTTATTGATTTTTTGTAATTTTACCAAACTAATGATGATCATATCTTTGAAGTTTAATTCTAATAAGTACTTTGACAATTAGAAATCTGCTGAAAAATTTTAACTACAGAGAAATGGGCTTCATAGTTGTTGTAATCTTCTAAGTTGTATCGTAAATAGTACAGAAATTTACCAGTGTTATATATATATATATATGTATATTAATTTCACTAAGATTTCTCACAACTTACTAATGTTTCTAGGTATGGCAATAAAATTATCTCAGTTAGGGTAAATAGCAAATATGCAATTAAGCTGTATTTTTGCTATTTTACCCTTAAATTTAAAGTATTTATTTTGTTGTTGTTGTTTTATTTTTGCCAAAGCTAGTATAACAGTAGCCAGCATTATTCACATGACAGAATAGTCAATTACTTATCAAAGCTGAACAAGTGTGTAATTCAGATTATCACATCATTTTATAATTAGCTGGATTTTTTGTATATCTAATCAAGCAGAAACAGTAATAATGAAATCATAATTTATTTGAAAGCTTAAACTGTTTTATATACAAATTATTATCTTTTGGTTTCTTGTAGTACTGTTTTACAGTGGACTTTTAATAATTTTTTTGATTATTAACATATCATCCATACTGACTTAATAAATATTTATCTATAAAAGTTATGCAAATGATTACATGTTAACAATTCACTTGTTGTGACATTTATGATTCAACAGAACAAAATTGATAACATTTCAGCTCTTTCCAAATTTTAAACAAATAAGTTGTCTTAAAATATACATGATCCAAGCTCTTTTTTTTTCCCACCATGATCCCACTCAGTTAAGTTTACAGTTGTTAGTATCTGAACATGAAATCAACAGCATAATGACTAGCTATCTCTGAAATCAGACTAATACAGAGCTTTTCTCTTTCAAATCCTGATTATCAAAACTAGTTCACTCAGATGCTCTGTATTTGTCAATGCTATTATACACTAAATTTCTTCTTCACTTTCTTTTATCATTCTTAATGAAGAATGGTTTAGGCATAATTCTGTAATCATTTATATGAATGAAAACAATGCAACAGTCAGGCTACACTTAATTTTAACATATAATTTTACAGGATATGTAATATCATCTCTGCTAAATTTGATGCAAGAAATAATTTGGAATACAGTTATCCAGAAAATTAAAATTACATATGGTTCCTTGTAACTTTCTAGCTTTTTCAGGTGTAATGATGTATATATTGTGTGATAAAATGTTATGGCTGTAACCCTTTTATAACTTTGAAAGTAAATCTGTCTTTAATTAGATGTGTTCAGGTACAGTTTTTCTGAATTCTGATACATATTCCTGTATTTACAAATTCCGTATGAACATGTATACCTAATCGTGACTTCTTAATTGTACCCTTTATGTATGTCTTCACACATTCATAGGTACAAGCCTGGTACCTGGACTGCTTGCTAGATAACTTTCTGGACAAATGTCATTGGGATGCCTGACATGTTGATCTTGAATGAAAATAAGAAATTTGGGAAGTCTTGTTTCCCTTTTCTTTTAATAGATTTACTCTTTGTGTGTGTCTCCGTATGTTCATAGGTATAAGCCTTGCACTTATTAACCTGCTTGCTAGACAATTGTCAATGGGATAACTGACGTATTCCTTAAGACATGGATAAACATGGCTCTCTTGGAAGTTTTAATGAAGCTTTGGATTGATTGTAATTCTAAACAAAGTTATTTTTTACTCAGACTTTCCTTGGTGGTTATATTTTGAAATTGTGTGGTCAGATTTTTCCATAGTGTTTGTCCAGTGTTGTTGTTCAAAAGCTAAGTATAAATAGATGTTACTTCATTTACCATATTTTATATTGTCCTTACTTTTGTTTCAGAATGAAAGTTCTGTTGTTAGCCTTCATTTTGCAGATTTAAGTGAGTCTGACATGTTCATGCTCTTCATTAAAATTGTTAGACCTCCTGTTATTGCAGCCTTAGTAGTTGATTATGTTGCAACTATATATATATAATGATCATAATATTTGTGTTAAGAATTTTACAGCAAGTTAGGCTTATGTAAAAGTTGGTAGGTATACAGTTTAAGTTAATGTGATAGAGATGATTTGGATAGTTTATATGATATGAATGTTAAATTTAATTATTTTTAGAAGCGATAGTTTATCGGAAGTTTGTTTACATAACTGGTGTGTAGCTCAATAGTTATGAATTGGTGATTGTTATGTTGTTACATCATGTTACTAGAACCTTCTGTGTTTTAATTGAGTATTATTGCATCACAATATCTAGTATCTGTTCTAGACCTCTGTCAGGGTATAAATATACGTTGAAAATTTAGTTTGAAAGTTAGATAGATCTAAACTGCATGATTGAGAGTTTAGCCATAAAGAGTATATATAGTGGCAATTTCTAAAGTGAAATTATCACACTGTGTTGTAATAACAGAGTAGAGAAGAATAATTCATCTTGGTAGTTATGTTCTAGAGTAATTGAATCAGTCTGTGTGGACTTTGACAAAAAAAAAAGATACAATTATCTAAAGTTCTGGATACAACTGTGGTAACCAACAGTTATAGTAGTGATTTTAAAATGAAATTATCACAGACTGTATTGTAATAACAGAGCAGGAAGAATAATTCACCTTGTCAAATTGTGTTATAAAGTAGCTGAATTAACCTGTGTTGACTTTGACAAAAAAAAAAGAGACAATTATCTAAAGCTCTGGATGCAACTGTGATATGTTGTATCACATGTGATATGTTGTGATCCTACATGGTACCTTATCTCCTCTTACATGTATAGTTACTCTTGTTCAATTCTGCCTTCTATATGCAAAAAATGTTTTCACATGCCACAAGCCTTGAACTCCCACATACCCCACGATCATCATGGTTCACTGTGTCTTGCATGTAAATCATCATGCAACAACCCTCCACCAACAGGAATGTGAAACACCCTCCTGATGCATGTGACTCCCTCTATTTGATTCTATAGAACTAACACTTCTTTAGGTAATGATCAAGTGCAGACATTTTTCAATTGTGCTCTCTTCACGTGTTCATCTATTTTTTTTGTGTGCAAAGTGGAGATTTAACTTAATTATTCTTTTGCTACAGCTGTTTTTCTGTAGTATTTTGTCACAATAACTTATCTTTGTTTATCAATTTTCTTTCTCATTTTCAACTTCTTCACAGTTTAAAATAAATTCTAAAGTTTGTGTTTTACCACTTCTGATATTATTACCACTACTTTGAGTGCCATTAGCAGCTTGAGGTCTGCGGTCTTGACTGAGGATTTTTTTGCCTATCATTCATCGGAAGAAGACTGATCGTTATATGAGTCGACCTTCTTCTCCTGACAATGTTTGGGTTATCCCTGAATCATACAAGCCCATTCATGAGAAGGAGGATTTTGACAGCTTTTTTTTTTCCACCTAACTATGCCGTGCCTTCCCATGCCTCTCTTACAGAATCTTCCAGGCCTAACTTAGCTTTATGGATATGATTTCTCAAGTATGTTCTGTTTTATCAATTTCATTGATTTCATATGATCCTGTCCTTATAATACCTTATTTTCCTTCCTTCTCCTGACATCAAAGTTCATGCTGAGCATTTCTTTCTCAGTTGAGGGCTGGTGCTAGCATGCCTCATCCTCCATGGGCTTCTGATCATCATGTTTTAACTTATCGTCAGGCTGATCAACCATTTCTCGACTCCCAAGCACTTGGAGTCACTTTTGCCAATGTGGGGTTGACCCTGACAATCCTATCTGTTTCTCCCATTCCCAATTTTCCCACTTTCTTCTTACCCATACAGCTCTCCTATGGTACTTATCCACCACATATCTCCTTTCTGAGGCACTCCACTGATCCCCTCAGGGATTTTGGGGAGATACCTTTTCTATCATTTCCTACATGTTGATGTGATTTTCATCCTCAGCCCTATCCTTTCACACATGGTTTCTCTGCTGTTGGGATCTTACTGGAAGGGATTCTGTCATGTCACAAGTTTGTCTGCCTTCCTATTATCTTCGTAACTTACAGATGGCTCCTTTTCTTCATTGGTCTGATTTTGGAGATATTCCTGAGTCTTTGGTTATTCATTTGTCTCATTCTGATCCCATGCCCACTTTTATAACTATTTCTCGTTCTGCACTCTCCTGTCCTTTACCAGGCACTACAACAAGAGGTTTGACACTTCGTTATGTTTCTAGATGTCAGATTAGTTGTTGTCAGCAGCTTCTGTGACTATCAGCTGGTTTGGTTTTCCAGATCAGTGGTGGCGCTTTTGATCTCCTGTGGCAGGAATTCACTACTGATCCTTAGGTGATCCAGGTTTTGTTAGAAGAACTTT